GCCCTAGGCTTGCGTGGTGTCGACTGGGGTGGTTGGGTGGTGGGTGGTGGGGGGGGGGTGGGGGGATCACGGGGTGGTGGGTTGAGTTGTTGTGTGGCTTTATGTGCGTGTGTGAGTTGCTACGGGATAGCGAGAGGGTTATGTTGGATTTTCTCCTTGTGCGGTGGTGTCGGTGGTGTCGGTGGTGGTGGTGGTGTCGGTGGTGGCGGGGAGGGGGAGGGGAAAATGGGTACAGCCCCTGTGGTTGGGGGGCCCCGGGTAAGACGGGGGAGGGACTGAGAGAGGTCGAGTGATGTAGGAGTGGCGTAGAGGGACGGGCTACTGCTGCTGCTACTGCTATTGATGCTGTACTGCGGAGGCTGCTGCTACTGCTACTGACGCTATCCCGGGCTGTTCTGGAGGTGTCGGTGGCGATTGCTTCGGTGCGGGATGTTATGCGCCTGCGTGCTAATAACAGGGGGGAGGCTCCGTGTGTTGTGTTGTGTTGTTAAGGCTGCTGGCAGGGTGATCGATAGGCAGGTAGGGTGGTGGTGGTGGTGGTAGGCAGGTGGGAATATTGGGTGGATGGGGTTGGTTGCTGAGTTGGGTTGTGCGCGGACTGGCTCGCCAGGCAAGGGCCCCCCCCCTTTCCCCCCGCTTCCCTCCTTTGTGGAGTTGTGGCGATGTACTTGTGGTGTTGCTGCTACGGGGCTGCTACTAGTAGTGCGTAATTGCTGCTGGCGCTGCTGCTTGACTGTAGTTGCTGCTGCTGCTGTCGGACCCTGACCATGCTGTGACGGCTGTGTGGTGTGGGTGTGGGTGTATGTCTGTGTGTGTGTATGTCTGACGTTCGTGGCGTGTGGAGACGTGACCAACACAACCGATGATTTGCTTTTTTTAGCTTCGCTCTCTTTCTATGTGTGCTTCTGTCTATTTATCTGTTCGTCTTCTGTCAAGTGGCTGCCTGGCGGGTGGCTGTTTGTTGACGTGCTTTACTTGACTGGCCCGCATGTGTGTCGTTTTATGCGTAAATTGCGTATGTATGTATGTATGTATGTATGTATGTATGTATGTATGTATGTATGTATGCATGTATGTGTGTGTATTTCCTGGCCTGGGGAAGCACACGCGGCTCCGAGAGGAGCTGGTGAAGACGGTCCGGACGTTGGTGGTTGACTTGCCCCGCGCGGCTGCGAATGGACTCCGACCCCGACCTTGATGGCTCGTACATGGTCTTATGTAAGCTGGTTTGTGTGTATGTGTGTGTGTATGAGGTATGTGTGTGTGTGCAGGTGCGTCTTTCTGTATTTGCATTCTTTGTTTCGTTGGGATTCTCGTCTACTGAACGCGCCTTGCCGTGTGTGTGTATGCATGTATGTATGTATGTGAGCTGTGACGTACTCACCAACCAACCAACTCGCCAGTGGCATTGTTTTTGTTGGCCCCGGGCAGTTAGGGCGGCGGGCCCCCCAGTCATCACTGGTCAGTAAATATTCATCCAGCCCGTGTCTTTTCCTGTCCTGGACTGTCCAGGGTCTACCTCTGGTATCTGCTTCACCCGCCAGTAGTTCATCTTACCCCCCTTCCTCCCCCCCGGCCCCCCCGGCCCCTTCAGTATGTTTTGGGGAGAGAGAAAGGTTGTGTATGTGTGCGTGTGTGTCTCTTGTGTGTGCCTCTGTGTGTGTATGTATGTATGTAAGACGCGAGAACCTGGCTTCCTAAGACAGCTACTACTGGTGTGTTTTCCACCACACGACCACTGGAACCGACTTGCGACACGCACAGCTGCTGCGGCTTTAGGCGGTGTGCTTTAGGAAGGTGTGCTCTGACAGAGTGCTCGGTCCGGTGTTGGGTACACCAGGGGCCTGTTGCTGTTGCTATACTGCGGTGGCGGCTGCGGCGGCTGCTTCGATGGCAGCATACCGGCGATACATCTGCGGCTGGCAGCCTTGAAGTGTTCCTACGGTAGCATCCTAGTGCTGCTGTTGTGGTTGTCGTGGTGGGGCTGCAGGTGGGGGTGGAGGTGGAGATGGGAGTGGAGATGGGAGTGGAGATGGGAGTGGAGATGGGAGTGGAGATGGGAGTGGAGATGGGAGTGGAGATGGGAGTGGAGGTGGGAGTGGAGGTGCGAGTGGAGGTGGGAATGGAGGTGGAGGTGGAGGTGGGAGTGGAGGTGGGGGTGCACTGGAGGCGGAAGGTGTTTTTCATAATCGGAGGGGGGAGGGCGGCGAGGAGGAGAACAGTGCGAAGGAGGAGGAGGAGAAGAAGGAGAAGGAGAAAGGAGGGGAGAGGAGGAGCGAGTTCATGGCCCGGGGGCGAGTGGGTTGGAGAGATTTCTTCTTCTTCTTCTTCTTCTTCTTCTTCTTCTTGGGGCCAATGGAGAAGTATATGAAAAATGATCACTTCGGCGGAAGACCTGATCACCTGATCGGGGTGGTTGTTGCTGCTGTTCATGAGACAGCACCGGCCCCCCATGCAATGTGCGGCGGTGCAGGGTTGTAGTGGTGGCGGCGGCGGTGGTGGTGGTGGTGGTGGTGGTGGTGGCGGCGGCGGTGGTGGTGGTGGCGGTGGTGGTGTTCTGTTTTGGCGCATTTGGGGGCCGTGCTGTACAGTGCCGTGCCTTACTACTAGGTGCGGTCGGTTGTTCTCGGTGTATATTAAAACAACAATTATCTGTGCGGATGTGGTCTGTGTTGCGAACATTGTATTGTCACAATGCATGCATGTATGCAGCGACAGTGGCGTCTGATGAGCGGCGCGTGGAGTGCGCATCCACCGTATAACACACGAGCAAGCTGATGATGTGCAAAACGGGGCTTAATGCACGCACATGATTTTCTTTTTACCTCTTTCCTCAGCTATCTCAGTTATCCACTTCAGGGGGCCCCCTTTTAGGCTCCTCCCTATTTTCCGGAGGATTTGTCGTGCTGGTACAAGAAAAAGCCTGGCTGGGTGGGGGGTTGTCGGGAACTTACTTTCAGGACGGGTGGTTTGGAAGGCGCAGGCATGAAAGTCTGCACGTGTGTGTTTTCCCCTTTTCCCCCCTCGGGCCCCCGTGGAGAAGACGTGTGTTGAAATAATCGTGGGGACGAGGGTGGAGGGGGGTTTAGGGGGTCAGGATGGGCCCTCAGCCGGGCGAGTAGCAGCAGCCACAGCGACAGAAGCCGCGCTGCCAAGGGCAGAGTGTGGGGTCTGCGCCTTACAGAGCTCTACATCATGCGTTGAGAGTATGTATGTATGTATGCATGGTGTATGTATGTATGTGCTGCGCTTCCCATCCTAATTCCCCCAATGGCCCGACACGTGCAACAGCCTCACGGTAGCGTTCCTAGCCCGGCGGTTTTGCAGCCAACTGTCGTGTTGTGTTCCCGAACACACAACCGCACCACTGGCACTGCTGGCTGCGCGGCCCGTGGCGACGAGAAAGATCACTGCAACGATGACCTGCTGGTGGTTGAGGAGGAGGAGGGCGGCGGAGGTAGCGGAGGAGGAGGAGGAGAATGAGAGAAGATGTTCTCCCTTGTTTGGTGTTTTTGCCCTTTTTTTCATGTCGCGGTGCAGTCCCGGGGGGGGGGGGGGGTTAGGTTGAGTGTCGTTTAGTGGAGTGTTGTGTTGTTGTTGTTGTTGTTGTTGTTGTTGAGATTTTTCTTCTGTGCGCTGCGCTTGGACGAAGATTTGCTGCTGGGGTGTTCGTTTGTAAACTGTAAATGTGCACGGCGCGTGTGTGCGTGCACACGTATGTATGTATGTATGTGTGTGCATCTGTGAGTGTATATACTGCTTCCTGTGGATGTAAGCGCGGGGAGAGGAGTGGTGTTGAGGGCGGCGGCGAGGGGCTGTGCGCCCCCCCCGGGCGGTGACTGGCCCTCAGCAATAAGTAACCCCTGATTGTTATTACTTTGCGGCTCTTGAGTGGGTGCCGTGCCGCGGGCCTGAGGTGGGCTGTTGGCTGTTCCCCCCATACCTCCCACCTGTTGTTACTATCACCACTAATACTACTGCTGCTGCTGCTACTACTACTACCACTGTTACTGCTAATCGTATGTACGGCTACTGCTAATGGTATGTACTGCTATCGTCAGCACGTGTGTCACGGTTCTGTTGCTACTGCGCTGTAGTTAGAAGTCGCCGTACGTCGTCGTACGTCGTACATCGTCCGTCTGTACACACGGTTTCTTGCTTGCAACGGAGTCTCGGGCTGTGTCTCGCCGTGCAAACGCGACAAATCAATAAAATGTAACTTTTCCCACAGCCTACCAGTAGATAGAGGAGGAAGGGGGAGAAGAAAGCGAAGGGAAGGTGTCTAAAGAGGACGACTGCTGCAGCAGCTTAGAGCTGTCTATTTGTCGACGCGATGAGAGCTTTTGAACACGTACATGAGCGGTTGTGTATATATGTATGTATGTGCGTATGTATGTGTTTGTGTGTTGTTGAACCCAAGCGTGTGTGTCGCCTCACATAAGGTGTCGTTCGTCTTTTTCAGGGCACTGGGAGTCCCTGGACTTGGGTGGTTCAGTGCGACTTGGGGTCCGCAGTGAGGCGGGGATCCCGCTCTCATTCTTAACATGGCATGACTTGACGTGACATGACATGACGACAGCGTGTGTGTCAACTTGAATTCGTCACAAGTCGTTTTTTTTACCGTTCAGCTACCGCCGTACAGTTTTTGGCGTGCTTGGTCCCAAGAACATGCTGTCTCATTTCAGTCACAAGACGTATCTATTTACACGTCGTACATAACAAACACACGACACAACGCAACACACCCGCCACCGTTGGGTTTCGGTGTCTTAGTGCCTTTCCCCCCCCGGCTTCCCCCTGGCGGTGCCGGCCTAGCTTAGTACGACACGGCAATAAACACAAAACCCGACGGACTCGTTCGGGGGGGGGTCTCTGAAGTCTTTGATGATCTCGTTTGGAATGGCAAGGACGGACTAACTGAGACGGTATATGTGGGTGTTTTGGGATTTTTGTGTACGTGTGTGGTCGTGTGACCGGCGCGTCTCTCGTTTCCCACCCACCCACGCATATTAAAATAGGCCTCAACAGATTACAGATCATTATGTTTTTGACCACCGGCAAACCCAAACACTTTCGTACGGTGTGTGTGTGTGTATGGATGGATGGATGGATGGTGCAGTACTGTCATGTACGACCACCGCTCTGGCATGAACGTCGTGTGCTGTTGGGGTGAGGAAACCGACGACGAGGGGCCCCTTCCCCCGTTGAATCCCCCTTTTTCCCGGCTTCAGACGATCCGACGTTCAGCTGCTCGTTACCGGTAGAGGGAGATACGCGCGGATATAAACTTTATGGTGAACATCACCATCATGTCGCCTTCAGCCGGAAGGAGATAATATAGAGATTACGAAGTTCGCCAAGCCAGATGGTTCACAACAAGGGAAGGCGGAGGAAGGGGGGGGAGGAGCTTCCCAATCTCTAAATAGCTTCCGTGAACTAGTGCGCTCCTCCCAAGATGTACGACGACGTGTACTTACCTGATGATGCCCGAGAAGAGGGGATGTACTTCAAAAGAAAGGGGACGTCAGTTTCTTAACACTCAACGAGGCACAAATCTCGGCCAGGCTTGAAAGACAGCATCAGCGCTCAAGAGATGCGTCTGTGCATATGCATTGTGCGTACGTCTGTGAGTACTACTGCGAGTGTGCATGTATATATGTGTTTCCGTGCCTGTCTGTCTGCCTGTCTGAATGTCTGAATGTATGCATGGTTTCACACGCGCAAGAGGTTGCGTTACGAAACTCTGCCGCATAGGCCGCGACCTTCACAAAGAGGCGGGGGGAGTGGTGCTGTCCCGCCAGCGATGCCGGCATGTAGAAAAGAAAAAGGAGGGGGAGATCTCATCATCAACAGCTCATTACCAGTACTACTCGCCCCTCAGGACTGCAGCGAGCCGAAAACCACGATGTTCGTCAGTTCCCAAGTCGTTCTCAACCTCTCAACAAATCGCAGAAGCCCTCGCTGCCCTCGCTTTCCCTCTTAATCACAATCTCCATAATATATTAACCCAAAGGTGTAACACAGCACACAGACGCACACAGGCGCACAATCCCCCTACAATTTCACAAACCCCTTCCAGTAGTACATCTCCGCCTCCACACCTCCTGCAACTGCCTACACATACACACATACACACACACACACACCGCCGAGCTCATCTTCTCACATGCAATGACGTCATGAAACCCAGGTAACACCAGGTAACGGGATCCACCCCGGGGCCTCCCCCCCCTCCTCCCCCCCCCTCCTTTCCCCCCCCCCACACACACCAACGCAAGCACCTGTAGGCGTTATCGCAGGACAGAGGGAATACCACCGGGAGAGGAAAAGCACTACCAAAAAGCCAGAGACCTCTTCTTAAACCTCAACTTCACCGAACTCAAGACCGCGATTGCGGGGAACACGATTCCCGACGACACAGGAATTGACGGAGGCCCGAATGACGGTAAGCAGGCTAGCTAGCACCGACGACGGGAATATGTGAATATGGATGATGTCTTGAATTATAGACACAAAGAGATTGTGTGGCAATACGAAAACGGGAATATGTGAGGTGGTGGTGGAGGTGGAGGGATCAACGGGTCAAGGGGGTGGGGAGTTCCTGCAGTGCTGCTGGGCTCAGGAGTTTAGCAACAAGCCAACAGCCTGTTCCAGGTCGTTGTTCGTTAGCTGTAGCGCGCGGATGGACTCGGCCTCCCCAAAGCCCATCGCCACCAACTGCTCAACCACCTCGCGGGTTGGGCCCGGCAGATGCGGGGCCGAGGGCACACCGTCACCACCGCCACCGCCACCGCCACCGCCACCCGTGGCGGCGGCGGCGGCGGCGGCGGCCGTGCGTCCGCCACCTCTCCGGGCCCCGGGCGCCGTACCGCCAACGGCGGCGGCGTTGGTGGCCGTCGGGTGGGCCGCCGGCGCCGCCGTGTCGCTGCTCAAGAGGGTTCCCAACGTGTTGGCGAAGAAGCGCCGAACAAAACTTGGAAACTGGCGGTTGGTCGGTTGGTTGGTTGGTTGGCGCAAGTCGAAAGGAAAGGAGAGGAAGAGGGGTTGAAGTTAGCGAATGTGGAGCAAAAAGGTGTTTGTCAGACACCCAAATTGATATGTGACCTGGTAAAAATAAGGTTAGCAAGTTTAGGGGTCCCGCGCGGTTCCCCCACACGCCACCGTACCAACCGCCACCGTACCAACCGCCACCGTACCAACCGCACCAACCGCCACCGTACCAGCCGTACCAACCGCATCATATCAACGATATGTACCCGGGAGACCGCGGCCAAAGGGGCTCCCCCCCGCCTACAGCCGCCCTCTTACCCTCAGCCGCTTGACTCCGAGCAGGTTGAACTTGTAGATCAGTCCAGCCACCAGCCCTGTACCGCCCACCAGCAGGGAAGCTCGTCCAGCACTCATCAGCAGCTGCAAGCCCAGCACGTAGACGAACACCTGTGGCGGCGTGGTGGTGTGTGTGTGGTGGTGTGTGAGGAAAAGGATGTGGTGGTGGTGGGGAGGGATATTAGGGTGTGTGTGTGGGGGGTTATGTGTGTGTATGTGTGTATGTGTGTGTACCGCGTCGGCTCAGCTCGGGTCGAATTTGGATTTGGAACGAAAAACGGGCAATGAAAGTGGTGGTGTGTCAGTAGCAGTAGCAGTAGGGAATTGGTCCGAGGGGACCCGACGTGGCATGCGGAGAGCAGAAATTCCCATGAAGTACGAAAAACAAGAATAGAGGAGCTTGTCTACCCTAAGTCTACTTTCAGCTGTTTGATGATGATCCTGTGCTTGGACGAGAATAGAGGATCATCATCTCAAGCACAGGATCATCATCCAACAGCAGAAAGTAGTGGTACTTCCTTTGGTAACAACGCCCCGAATCCATCACTAATCACTATCGGCACGATGCCATAAAGTGCACGTCTTCCCACTCGTACTTTGTCGCTCAGCCGCCAGCCAAAGACCACCATCTTGTTCGCGGCAGGCACTTGAAAATAGTACTGTACAAAACACGCAAAGACGATGCCGTACGGCCCCGACGGGCCCGAGGCTATGAACCCCGGTGCCCCCAGCAGGCCGCTGCGCCCCACCGCCCACTGCAACAACGATGACAGGAAGGTGCTGATGGCGGCGAAGGCGGCAAACTTGCTAGGGCCGGCTTCCCTTGGGGGTCGGGGGTCGGGGGTAGGGTCGGGGGTAGGGTCGGGGGTAGGGTCGGGGGTCGGGGGTCGGGGTCGGGGGGATGTTAGGGGGGGCCACAGGGCGCATGTGGGTCATGGAAGTGTGTGGGACTTGGGATGACACCCGTGCTGCGGTGTGTGGTTTCGGAACGGGACGGGGTAGGGACCACATGAAGTGTGCGTCGCGGCGGCTGTTGTGGGACACAGCTGCTTTACTCTGCTTCCCTTAGGGGGGTTGGGGAGGGGTTGGGGCGGGGGACTTGGGGTTTGGGTAAAACTGACGTACAGGGCGGAGGGACAGGGGTGTGTACAACGCGAAAGTGAAGTAGTAAGGAGTACGACGGTATGGATTTTTGTTTCAGAGCAAGTCCGAAAGGGGAGGAAAGGGAGGCGGCAGGTAAAAGGCGGGGCGTGTCCATGGCCGCCTGTGCCTTGCTTCTGCTGCTTCTTCTGCTTCTGCTTCTGCTTCTGCTGCTGCTGTTGCTGCTGCTGCTGGTGGTGGTGCTGCTGCTGCTGCTAACTTAGATGGATGTTCGGGGAAGAGGGAGGGTGTGCATGTGCTGCTCAACGGCTGAGTTTGGAAGCCAGTTGGCTGCTATATGGGGGCTTCTCTCAACCCGAGTATGAAGGGGCAATTAGGAGCCCTTACAGGTGCGCAGGCCAGCCCCCGGGGTGTGACAAAGTCGGTCAGGCCAAGAACGTGCGCCTGGATGCCTGGTGCAACTCCCTTGCTCCAAGCCCTAGATGTTTACCCACCGCTCTAGGATGCGAAAATAGTACATGAGCAAGGTTCCAAACACGAGCTCGGCTGGGCTGCGAAAAACCAAAGCGTGCGATAATGCCGCAGGCACGAGCTGCGTGCGACGCGATGCCCGCGCCGCCTGGCTGAGGATGGAAGCTCCCGCTGTTGCAAATATCAGCCCTTTGCTAACCGGGGCATGACCTGTGTGGAATGATTTCTGCGTTTAGTTTCCATGTCTACAACGCTTCCAAAACCGATAACACTTACGAAATCCTGTCCTTGTTGGCATCCTTAGGCCAAGAACGCACAATTACGTTGCCAACTATATGAAAGCCCTTGCGCGGACGGCCTCGCGATTGTGTGACCTATGCTTCGGTTGTCTATAGCCACCCAGGTGCAATAACAACATATCCTTGGTATCGGGCAGCTAAGATGTCCATTGCGTTTGGGGAGAAACAGGTGACAGCTCCGTCGGGATGCTTACAGCGACATGATCTCCCGTATATAGCAACTCTGGTGTATCGTTTAGACTTGCCGGAATACTAATAGGTAGGAAACACAACACCGTAAACAAAGTGGTGATAACGATGTGTCAAGGTATGTGTCCGTACTAATGTTATTAAAACCGGCTACGCGGCCACTGCCAAGTCCGTTACAGAACATTGTAGCCCCACGACTACAAGTAAGTATCTGTTTCACACATACACAAGCCCTTCTGTATCTGTGTGCAGCCGCTAACCACCGCCCATGTGCTCCAACCACGTTCCATTAACTTCCTGCGCCTGCGTCTTACATATAGTCGCACTTACATTCACACTTTGCCCACGACCCCACCCATCGCCACAGTCGCACAACCCCCCCACACACCTTTCCCCCCAAACCCCAACTCTTCCCCGCCCCACCCCCTCCCCAGGCACCTTCCGTTCGAGACCTTAGGGTCGCCCACACAAAAGTCGCCTATTGAAGCCCCCATGATAAGAAACAACAAATGCTAATGCCAGTGCTCTGACGACGCTGCCAGTGCTCTGACGCGGATGACGCGGATCCCAAGCCACCCTCCCCCGCTTCCCCCTCTCGCCCCGCTCTGCATTTCACAACGTCAACACGACGTCCCCCGCAAATGGCAACGATGGCTGCCGCAAGAAGTTGTCCCCGGAAGCACCGTTGGCAAGCCGTACACCGCAGAACAGGCAGTACGGCACCGGGGGACTCGTGTACAATTGGTGGAGTCGCCGTGTGGGCGGAAACAGGTACCTGTTGAGCACGGTCCAGAAAAAAAGGGGCAGGTTGCGTAGTTACGGCAGTAGCAGTAACAGTAGCAGCAGTGTAACTGTGCATGCGGCGGCAGCAGCAGCAGCGGTGGCAGCAGCAGCAGCGGTGGCAGCAGCAGCAGCAGCAGCAGCACATACTCCAGACGCACACACAACACAACCCATATCCCCCTTACCTGCGGGCACATACCACACAGTTCCAAACCGCTGGGGACTCGCACACCATCAGCGTCGCCCCGCAACGGGGCAGTGTCAACACCACGCGCTGTGGAGCCGCCGCCGCCACTGTAGCCGCCGCCGCGGCGGTGGCTGTCGTATCCGTCATCGTCGTCGCCGAGCCGAAAGCGCCTTGCTTCATGTTGCTGCTGTCATCCTTCCTGTCCTTGTTAGCATCATTTGTGGCAGTTACGGTTGTGGCAGTTACGGTTGTAGTGGTGGTTTCGAAGCTGCAGCACCACTCCGCCACCGCGGCGGATTGGAGCATGTCGGAAGAGGAGGCGGTGGATGAGGCGGCTGAGAGCGCTACCGGCTGGGGGGAGAGGAGGACGCTCTCGCGGGGCCGGGGCGGACAGTCCAGCGGCGGCGCCTCCCCTGTTGGTAATTAGTTGGTAGTTAGTTGGTTGATTGGTTGTAACAGATGCCGGGCAAAAATACGGTAGGGTGAGGTTGAGGGTGAGGGTGAGGGTGACACCCAACATATACATATACACATATATGCATATTCAGGTTAGACACTACTGGTAAGGTATGGACCATTGCCCCCGGGAGATCCCGGGATCGAGATCCCGGGATCGAGACCTGTCAGGGTCGAAAATCCTTTCGATGGTGGAAGGTGAAGTGTCCCTAGTCGATGGACGGTGGTGACCTGGGATAAAGTTAACTTGCGGGCCGACTAGGAATGGAGTTGGGCCGCCGATGATCCGGCAGATTCCGTTTGATGCCGGTAGTGGGTGCGGAACCTGAGTGATCCACTGAGAAGTTGACTAGGGTGACTGGATGAGGGTGCCCCGAAAAACCGGGGAAGGCAGGGTTTCGCAGGGTAGCTGCCACGGGTGAAGATATGACCCACTGTCCCACACATCATATACCCACACATATACAGACACATAAACAGACACATATACGGACATATATACAGACACGCACACACCAGTCCGAGGGTTCCTCCCACCGCTCCTTCCCTTCATCGCGCAGATGCACACATCCAGATGCAAATTACTTAACACGCAACATCCCCCCCCCCCCACACACAAAAGCACCGAATTATATCTGCCGCCTTTTGGTTAGCTTTGTCTCAGCCTTCTATCCCCTTTACTAACTTGCACATCTCCTTTCTACATATCCCTACGTATTACTAAACAATTCTATCATTACTACATATTAATATTTTCATTGCTATGTGTCTGTGTTACTGTAGTGTAATATGATAGTGCACGTAGTATTGGTATACAGACAGAAGGGAGAGGGATATAGAGTGTGTCCCACCCTAAAGCCGTTGCAGAGCTATTTGGAGCTCGAGATTACCCCCGGGACCCCCAGGTCCAAACACACACGGACACGCATACATACCGGCCGACAGGTAGACGCTGACCGTTAGCGGTAACAGCTCCGATTCCCGGAGTCTCGGATGCCGTACATGAAGTGTTACCCAGTCGGCCATTAACAGCTTGTATAGCGGCGGCGGCGCCGTCGCCGCTGCGGCCGGCGGCAACCGGCGCATGAAGTGCCCAATGCCGTACGACAGAGCGGCCCAGATGTGCGCCTGCAGCAACTCCCCTTCGTTGCGTGCGGCCGCGTCGCGGCACGCCAGCACCGCCGCTGGCGCCGCCACCGCCGCCGCCGCGGCGCCGCCGGCTTGCTGCAGCGCCGCCACCACGCCGACGTCAACGTCAGCCAACTGGTCCTGCGGCGCCGCGCCCGGCGGATCCGCCCGCGAGGCGGTGTACGACAGGGCCAGCCGCCGAAGCGCCGTCGCGCAGCGGAGGCCACACCAAGCCCAGGCCTGCTGTCCATTAAGCGCAATAAGTAAGGACCCGCCGCCCTCCATGGCGGCGGCCGCCGCCGCGGCGTTGTACGGCGCCTCCAGCGGCGCGATGAACCGTTCCATGGCGTCAAGCATCAGCTTGGTGGTTGTTAGTTGCTGCAACCGCCTGCAGTGTAGTTGGGTTGGAGAGGTGCGGAGCAACGGTTATCAAAAGTCGAAGTCGTCCTGAAAGTTGTTCCTGGGAAGGTGCCTGGAACAACTTCGAAGGACAAATATAAAAAAAACTTTGAGAACCCCGGATCGATTCCCATGTGATGTGATTTTTCTTACGCTGCCAACTTCGCCCTCCGTCGCTCCTCCGTATCCAGTCGGACCAGTGCCGCCAGACGAGCCCGACCCGGATCCATAGACGCCCCGTCGCCGCCGCCGCCGCCGCCCGGCCCCGCGCCGCCACCGCCGCCGTCGGCATCCGCATTGCCCGCATCCTCCTAGGGATGCCAATCAAGGGATACAGTTTGTGTGGTGTGGCTTGAGATGTGGATATGACGTATCCATCGGCATGAGAGATTGGTGTGAGAGTTGCAGGTTGCCGTCGACCGCACGTGACGAGGACGGACGGACAGACACACGCCAGGATGAACCCCCTGTCTACTTATCTTTTTACAAATGACAAAAATGTTTGCGGAGTTTCGGCAGTGGGGTTCGTTACGGTTAGGTACCCCGGTAGGCGTCAGGCCTGGATCGATGTGTAACAGATACACACACACGTTCTCTCTCTCTCTATCTATCTATCTATCTCTATCTATCTATCTATCTCACACACACACACACACATACACACACACACACACACACACACGCGAGTGCGCAAAACACAAGTAGTTCACACGCAGCTTACCGCGCCCTGAACCTGCTCCAACATAGCTGCGTCATCCGCCTCCGTCACCTCGCCGCCCAGAGTCACACAGTCCCACGCCTCCTCCGGCACTGGCGGCAGCGCCGCCGCCGCCACCAGCCCCGCCCGCAGCGCCAGCGCATGGAGGTCCCATAGACACGACGCCACCGCCGCCTGGAAGAGCAACCCAGAGGCCAGCTGCCGCGGCGACGGCAGCTGCGGCGACGGCAGCTGCGGCGGCTCCGCCGCCGCCGCCGCCATGCTGTACGGCGTCAAGAGATGTACGGTGCCGCCGAGGACGCGGCCATGGATCATGACGTTCTTGGCCATGTCCAATTGGCGAGTGGCTGTGGTGCGTAGCACCGCAAAAACCAGGCCGTTGCCACTGGCGGCGACGCCGTGTACGGCCTGTCGTGCAAGCGGCAGCGTTCGTACCTGCGCCGGCAGCGCCGGCAGAGCGCTGCTGCAGGGGTCCAGGCGATGCAAGCCATCAGTCACCTCCGTCAGCTGCAGCGCCACCCGGGGCGGCGACGGTGGCGGCGGCAATGGCAGCTTGAGCTCCGAAACCACCCAGCACTTGACGGTGCCGTCCGTACCGCCCGTGACGATCATCGGCTGACCAGCCGCCAATGCCACGCCGCTGCAATGGAAGGTGCCATGGGCGCCGGGCTGCAAGCAGCTGGCGGCGCCGCCGGCACGGCTGCACGCCACCGTCAGGTCCGCCGCACCATCCTTGTCCCGGTGCCGGTGCTCCTCAGCATCACCGCCGCCACCTGCAGCGGCGGCAGCGGTGACCACTGCCACAGCCACCGCCTCCGTCTCCGTCTCCTTTCTTTTCTTCTTCTTGGCCGCTGGTGAAGAAGGCGCCGCTGCCGTCGCCATCGGCGGCCCATCAGCCGCCGCCGTCGCCGCCACCGTCGTTGCTGCCGCCGTTGCTGCCGTTCGCGGCAGCCAGAGGCCGCTCCGCCACACGAACACCGCCCCACAGGGCTTCGCCGCCGCAACCAACAGACGACGTGCCCGGGGCGCATCCGAATGCACACCCTCCTCCTCCTCCTCCTCCCGCTGCTGCTCCCCGCTCGCCGCCGAAACACCGCCGCCGCCGTCAGCGTCACCACACCCCCTCTCCCTCTCCTCATCCCCGTTGCCTTCCCTCGCCGCACGCCCGCCGCCGTCACTACCCTCGCCCTCGCCGTCACCATCACCAGCGTGCGTGCCAGCAACCGCGGCGCCGCGCCGGCGGCGGCGGCCGCCGCCGCGGACCCGCGGGTCACTGGTACTGCTGGCGGCGGCGGCAGCTAGCAGCCAGGTGCAGTCCAGGGCAGTGGGCGCCAGGCCGTCAGGCGGGCAGACCTCTGCCAGGAGGGTGAAGTCTGAGGCTCGCGTCAGCGTGGCAGCGGCGGCGGACCACAACAGTACGGCACCGTCGGAAAGGCCCGTCAGCAGGAGTAAGCTGTCTCGTAGGCCCGCTGTGTGCGGCTGCGGCACCCGCCACTGCGACGGCGCCGCTGCCGCGGCCTCGACGCCTGCGGCGGCAGCACCGCCGCTGCCCTCGGGGGCCACGTGCCATGCTAGCCGCAGCACGTGCGCACCGCCCCCATGTATTCGGAGCGCACCCATCCATTGCAAAGCGAATGATGAACATGATGATGGTCCTGATGATGGGGATGGGGATGGAGAAGGGGACGGAGAAGAAGGGGAGGAACATGTAGCGTCACCGCCGCCGCCGCTGCCGCCGCCGCCGCCGTTACCACGTTTCCCTGGTTGCGCTGAGGGTGACTTGGGTCCTGGCCCGGCGGCGGCGGCGGCGGCTGCGACCCGTCCTCCGGAACCAGACCCCGCCGCGGCCGCCCCGCCGCCCACCTGCGGCCTGAGCTCGTACTCGTACGGCAAACCCAGACGCCACATGGTCACCTCGCCAAGCTTGTTGCCCACTGCCAGCACGCAGTAACGGGAGACGCCGTCAGACTGCACGGCAGCAGTACCGTCAGCTGCGGCAGTCACTTCAGTATCGGCGGCGGCGGTGGCGGCGGTGGCGGCGGCGGTGGCAGCGGCGGCCGTGGCGGCGACGCAGAAGGCCGGTGACCAGGCGAGGCAGGTAGCTGAGAGGGACAGAGAACGAGTCTCGTATATCGCAGTAGGTACGGCAGGACCGTTGCACACGTCAGATCCCGGACATTTCTCTAAGGAGATTTCCTGAATCAGGGGAGGCGGGGAACATGGAGGGTGACGGCGAGGGGAGAGCCGGGGAACATGGAGCGAGTGGAGGGGAGACAAAACCCACACGCCCACGCTGCGGCCACAGACACACCCCACACACCAAAGAGGAGCCACTGAACCGGCTTATATCGGCGTCTGCGATGGGATACCCCACATACATACATACATGCCTACGCAGAAGCCTAAAAGACACAAAGAAATCGTCCACATACAATCTAGCCCAGTCCTATCCCATGCTGTCCACTCCACCCCTAAGTGTGCTCCGCTTATCCGTCCTAAAATATCCTAATGAGTAGAGAGTACTACTACTGGAAAAAAAACCCTAAAACCCTAAAACCCTAAAACCCTAAAACCCTAAAACCTCAAAACCGTAAAACCGATGCAGCGACCATCATTCACTAACCCGGTGGTCGTCCTTAACGTAGCCAGAAAACCGAATGGCATACGACGGCGGCCTGGTCTTGGGCGCGGTCGCCGCCCGTTCCGCCGCTGCCGACGATGACCCCACGGACCCGTGGGTCACGTCCATTCGATAACGAAGTTTTGTACGGCGACCCCAAAGAGCCAGCTGTTGTTTCATATTTCAGTCAGGGAGGAGGAAAGCGGGAAGTATGGGAGGGAGAGACGAGGAGATGATAATGGCTATCATTATATCATTATATACATTATTATTATTACTTAATTATTATTATTATTATTACTTAATTATTATTATTACTTAATTATTATTACTTTATTCTTATTATTAGTTTATTATTATTATTATTATTACTTTATCATTATTATAATTTATTATCAACATCATCTATTTATATACTTTTATTATCATTAACGAACGGAGCGCAACCAGGAGACTCGTCGGGCAGTTGGTGCTCTGGACGCATCGTATCGCACAGTCATTTCTTTGTGTAACTTTTGCATTCTTCTCCTCCTCCTCCTCGTCATCATCATCATCATCATAAGTCTCCCTTCCGCCCGTCCCTTTCTCCTTTTAAATTGTGAGACAACGTTAATATCATCTCCCCCCCTTTTCCTTCTTTAGGTATGAAACCCATCGTCATCATGCAATCCCCCACCCCCCACCTCCATTCCCCCCCACCCCGTCTCCAGCCCCTCACCGTGGTTTCCCACGTCTCCCGACAGGAGCTGCCTCCGGCTCCAGGCCCCTGTCCCATCCCCTCCGCCGCCGCCTCCGCTGCCGCCGCCGTTGCCTGGACAGGAAGCGCGCCTGGAGCGCCCTCCTCCACCGTCCCTGTCGCCGTCCCCGTCTCCGTCGCCGCCCCCGCCGCCGCGACCTCGCCAACACCGCCCTCACCATAACCCATGAACAACGTCCCTGGGATGTCGAGGTAGCGGGGGATGGGGAAGGAAAACCAGTTTTGATGGTGGTCATGGTAATGGTGATGGTGGTAGTGGGGGTGGTCATGATGGTGAGGATGATGACGATGATGCAAGGAGATGCGAAGACTCGCAGCTGGCCCCACCTGCATGCCTACAGACCAAACCACCAACTGCTGACGGAGAAGGGAAGGGAGAGTGGGGGTGCGGGTGGTGGGAAAGAAAAGAAACACAAGCTGGGAGCCTTTCTAACAGGACATGGCGAGATGGGGACCAGGACATGAAGGGCCGTTCAAGAAAAGGAAACCCTTTGTAGGTAGTATAAAATAATAATAATAATAATAATAATAATAATAATAATAATAATAATAATAATAATCTTTACCACTGAGCTGCCGAGGAAAGGTTCGAGGGTTAAGGTATGCGGGGGAAACCGGAGGGTGGACGGGGCGTGAAGAAAATGGAAGGGAGAAGGGCGGAAGGGCGGCACCAACAGTTGTCACACTAACCGACTAACCGACTAACCGACATTATCAGCATCACAACACAAAGAAAAAGAAGACACAGACAGCAACCTCAATCCATCTCCATCATAATCACATATCCACAGCCCATGGGCCCACAAAAAAGGCTCTCAGGTTAGACACTACTGATACGGCAGGGACCATTGCCCCCGGGAGATCCCGGGATCGAGACCTGTCAGGGTCGAAAATCCTTCCGATGGTGGAAGGTAAAGTGGCCCTAGTCGATGGATGATGGTAACTTGGGATAGTGTTGACTCGCGAGCTGACCAGTAATGGAGTTGGGCCGCCGTTGATCCGGCAGATTCCGTTTAATGCCGGAACCTGAGCGATCCCCACTGAGAAGTTGACTAGGGGGTGACTAGATGAGGGCGCCCCGAAATACCGGGAAAGGCACAGGGTTTCGCCAGGTAGCGGCCGCAGGGTGAAGATATGCCCCACCCTGTCCCACACATCAATAAAGCCACATGTGAAATACGTACATACATACGTACATATGTTCCTACACGCACATCTGATCCGAGGGGTCCTTCCTTCCTTACCTTGCACTCCCGCCGCCTCCCTGACGCCTTGCCGCCGCTTCCCCGACCACATCACGCTCTGTAGCTGAGTTGCCCGATTGGTCCCGACGTTGGCAGCTGTAGCAGCAATAGCAATAGCAGCAATAGCAATAGCAGCAGCAACAATAGCAGCAGCAAATGAACAGCTGCAGTAGTGGCCGTAGCAGCAGTAGCACCAACGGACCACATGTAATCCGCAAAGCTCGAACATCGGGAAGGAGTCATGAGGAAGAGGTTAACAGAACATGCAGCTGTAGCAGCAGTAGCAATACTATCAGTACTAGCAGCAGTAGCAGTACTGACAGCTGTAGCCGTATTAGCAGCAGTAGCAGTACTAGTAGCAGTTGCAGCAGTAGCCGCACACAGATGCACCGGCAGCAAAAAAGGATAGCCGCAACCGCACAACTTACACAACATACAATGTATAGCGGAAGAGGGGACACGATTTGGGTAAACGGATATCAGCAGCAGCAACAACAGATGAAGCAACATATGTAGCGGCAGCAGCAGCAGCATGTAGCAACAACTCCTCCCCTTCTAACCTCGAAGTTTCCTCACCCAACTTTTGTAGATAAATCAACATTGCAAGTATGCCGTACCTGCACCAAAACCCACACGCTTCGCCAATCTCCCTCCCTTCGCCTCCCGCTCCCCTCCTCAATCCCCCATCACCCCATGATTCCTCCCTGCGCACTGACCTGCCTCTGGTTGACCAGACACGTTCCTGTACGACTGAATCACCAGCCGTCGAATGTTGGTCTTGGTGCGGCTCTTGACCTTCTTATCTGCATGTCCATGAGGAGATGAGTGCGGGTCCAGTGTGCAGGGTGAGTGAGGTAGGTAGGATTGGAGAAAAAGAGGTGGGAGGCGGGGAGCTGGGGCGGGGAGAATAAATGGGGGAGGGGGGTAATACGTGCACATGCAAAGTCAAGGAAACAACTGCGATGCCTGTGTGCATGTGCCGTGTATGTTTGTGTAGGGTGTGTGTGGAGTTTGTGTGTGTGTGTATGTGTGTGCATGTGTATGATGTTTGTGTTGATGGTCTGAGCCAAGGGCAGGACCAGGCGTGAGCCGCTGGCTATGCGGTGCTGCTGTGACACCCACACCATCAAGTACTCCAGGTGCTCGCTTGCCCGGGAAACACACGCATATACACACGTACATTCGTACAATGACATCTATAAATCTAGCTAGCTTGATCTGTCTGTCGGTTTGTCTCTTTGTCGCTCCGTACATATTTGTGTCCATCCGCACATCCGTACATTCACCCCTACCTCCGTCGGGCGGCAACAAGCGGCCAAACAGCTCCATGAACTCGCCGTACGCCTGTACGAATGCACGCAGGTCAGCACCGCGGAGGTGCTCCCCCCGAGTGTACGACGGCAACTCGGAGGGGTCGTACTTTCTGCGAAGCTCAATGTACCTGCATATTGGCCATGATAGTGGCCAATATTGTTACTGTTGCTGTTATTAAGAAAAGAGATAATGATACATTTCATGTAACTTGCTGTGTGCTTATTATGAGGGAAGAGAGAAAAATCGATAATCAAACCCTACAGAATTTTCGGTGGGCCAGCCCCCTCAGCCACTCCCACAATCCCCCATTTTTCCGACTGTCAATTCCAGTTGGCTGCCTGGCAGGTACTACACAGCCGCAGCCGCAGCCGCAGTAGCAGCAGCAGCAGCAATAGCAGCAGCAGCAGCTGGTGAAACTGCCGTACGTCCTCTTGTTCATAATGACCATGTGGCCCAACCCGGGCTCCAACCCTCTTCTTCATTACAGTCCTCACTGCCACTGATGCATATGAACTCTGCCAGGTACCTGTTTTTTACTCTTTTTTTTATTATAGTAGACAAGTATACCGTAATAATACACACACGTCCTCCCGCACACACGCGCACGCACACACAACACACGCACACACAACATATGCACACACATAACTCTCTCAATTCATATGCACGTCTCTACACACCGGCATAGCACAAGTTGGCAGAGTACCGAGCTGGAAATTGGCAGACCTGGAGTTCGAATCCCAGTGTCGGCGTCTAGAGTTATATAAGACGTGAGTCCGGGTCCCACAGCTGGTCCCACTCGGATGAAATCGAGTGTCAAGATGTCTTCTAATGTTGATGACACAGTCTAGGTTCCAGCAGTGTACTGGGCGGTTACAGTGGGAGCCAAATGAGAAGACCTTTTCACTGGTGGTGGAATAAGTTTGTAAAGGGCTTGGACCCGGCTGCATATCAGATGGCGACTTGGTTTAATAAAATTATGCTCAGACAGCCCTCCTCTTTAAACCGCGGCCGCAGCAGGATCCGCAAGGAAAGAGTGGTGGTTGACACCGGTGTGAATGCATTGCATTGGTACAGAGCATGCTGTACAGCATGCGCGCGGTGGAGCGAAGAGGTTTTGCTTGGCATCTCAGCTGGCATACGTAACTGACGAGAGGATTCGAACAGGTGACGGCGCCTTGCGATGATGTTGGTTAGCAGTTGACACTGATCGATGATGGAACGCCCTTCCTGGAATGAAGTGCTTCGGCGGTCGCACCCATAGGGGGGGGGTAGCGCCCCCGGTCGGGGTCAGGCCAGGCAGATGTGTAACAGTCGTTACATACATACATACATACATACAGCATGCATACAGGAGATCCCGGAATCGAGACCTGTCAGGGTCGAAAATCTTTTCGATGGTGGAGGGTAAAGTGGCCCTAGTCGATGGACGGTGGTGACCTGGGATAAAGCTGACTTACGACCTGACCAGGAATGAAGTTGAGCCGCTGTCGGTCCGGCAGAGTCCGTTGGATGCCGGTGGTGGGTGCGAAACCTAAGCGATCCACTGAGAAGGTGACTAAATGTGGGTGCCCCGAAATACCGCAGGGTTTTGCCGGGTAGCAGCCACGGGTGAAGATATGGAGCCCCTGTCCCACACATCATACATACACACACGCATACACACACATATGCTAACCTCTTGTACACCAGGTAACCGCCGCGCTTGGTCAGTGTGGAGGGGTCGTCCAGATTCATGGCCGGGTCCAGCGCCTCAAACACGCTACGGCTAGCAGCCGCAATGGCAGAAGCAACTTCCACACGGACAGCGTCCTCTTCCTCACGCGGCGTCGGCCGCCGTGCCTGGCTGCTGCTACTGCCGCCACCGCCGCCGCGCCTGCTGCGCCTGCTGCGCCTGCCGCGGCTGCCGCGACCGCCGCCTCTCCCTCGGCCACCGCGACCACGCCTGTTCTCAACGGAATAGCACATACATACATACATACGGGCCGACGACATGACATGCCGTCGATCACAATGGCGGAAGGTCACAAGGAAGGTCACAATCCCACCCTCACCGTCCCGCCTCCAACGACTCACCGCCCCTCGTTGCCGCTATCGCCATCATCTTCCACGATGTCCTCGTCCTCGTCGTCAGCATCGCCGCCGCTTCCCCCCTCCTCCTCCTCCTCCTCTTCCTCCTCCGCCCCGAGCGACCCGCTCTCGCTGCTGCCCCCACTCTCCTCCCCCGCCACGGTGCCCAAACTGAAATCCGAGGAGCCATCACCGCCGCCATCGCCGTCGTCGTCGCCGCCGTCAGGGCCGCCAGCGGCAGCGGCGCCACTGGCGTGACGGCGGCGGCGGCGCCGCCGCCGCCAGTGCAGAGCCCCCTGCGCTGCGTCCCCTCCGTCCTCCCCTCCGCCGTGGTCGCTTTCGCTGCTGTGAATGCCATCGGCCCCGTCAGCCGCCGCCGCCACTGCACTGTCAATGACCTGCCGCCGCGCGGCGGCGGCAGCGCGCACCGCCGCTGCCCTGGCTGTACGGCGTGAGGCGGTGCCGGGGGTACCGGCAGTGCGTTCAGCTCGATCCACCCCTGCATCCAACTCCCCTTCGCCGCCCCCGGCGTCAGCGTCGCCGCCGCCGTCGCCGCCGCCACCAAGAGATGTACGGAGCCGCTGCCGTACTCGGCGCTTGGCTTCGACATGAATTCGCTTAGCTACAGGACGGCCAAGAACGAGGTAATGAAACACGAGGCTGATCTTATTAAAGGTGCATGACGCACGTGAGCGCAGTTCATTAAGCATGTGACGCCATGCCACACCACCATGTACGGCATGTACAGCAGGCACACGCACATAAGATTCTCCTCGCGCGCACACGACAGAAAAGTACATATACACGAACACATACACACACGAGACTCCCGCCCAGTCCAATTAATACACGAACACTACACACATACACACACGAGACTCCCGCCCAGTCCAATTAATACACGAACACTACACACATACACACACGAGACTCCCGCCCAGTCCAATTAAAGCACGACTCTCGCGCTCGCTCACCCGCACCCTCCTGCAGCTTCTCGCCGTACAGGTACATGAACTCGCCGTACGCTTGGTCGTACATCTTGAGCTCCGTACCGCGGACGTGTTCTCCGGCTTGGTAAGTCCGGAGGGTGGCGGGGTCAGCCGAGGATATGAGCAGGAGCCAGCTGCACACATATCGGGATTGGGATCGAGGGCGAGGAGTGATGGTAGCGGTGGTAGCTGTTGTAGCGGTCATTATAAGCTGCTGATAGAGGGCCATGATAACAAGACAGTAAGGGAAGGATAGATAGACAGGCAGACAGACAGATAGACAGACAAACAGACAGGAAGGCTCCTAGGTATCTTATCGCAATCTGCAACATCAGAGCATCCTTGTACCATCGTACTCCAAATTTGTACATAATTAAAACATAATTAAAACAAATATCAAAAATATATTAGAGTAATAAAAAGATATAATGATACATATGATAATATGGATATAATACTAGGTATAATGATTAATATAATAATATATAATATAATAAAGGTTATGATAGCAATAACAACAACACAATGATTCCGAATCAGTCAAAACATCAACACGGCAAGCTACTGAAGGTTTAAGAAAAACAGTCAAGTCAACAGGAATATGGAATGGCATTTCATTAAAGGCAATACAAGGAGAAATCACCAAACCGAAGAAATCACCAACCCACCACCACCAACCACCAACCACCACTCAGCCCAACGCACCGACTCAAAATCATCCCCGGCGCCGCCCTCTCCAGGCTCGTCCCGCCCTCATCGGGGTCCAGCCGTGTGTCGTACTGTCGGAAGGTGTCCGGATCCGTACCGGAGAAGTCCATGGGAGGTACGGCACTCTCGCCGCCCGCAGCCCCTACCCGGCTGCGTCGGGGTTTGGGTACGGCACGTGGCTTGCGGGGTGAGCTGAACCAGGGGGGGGCCAGGAGGGGGGGAAAGGGGTAGGGTAGGTAAGGAGGGAGGGGGTTGGGTGGTTGCAGGAGGAGTCAGCCGTGGTGGTTCTTTCCCCCATCCGCCCCCATCAGCGCTTCTAATCTTTTCCCCCTTTTTTTGCCCCTGGCGAGAGAAAAGGAAGCAGGGTTAAATGGCGCACGGCGCAGAGCTCGGCAGGCAGGCAAAGAGGAGGTGGAGCCGCCAGGCAGGCAAAGAGGAGGCAGGCAGGCAAAGAGGAGGTGGAGCCGCCAGGGGCGTTTGTAAACAACGAAGCGCAAAGAAGGCAAAAGCCATTGCCACTGCAAAAAGGCATAAGAGAAAGGGAAAGGAGTAGGCGGTAAAACCCTCATCATCCTGGACGACAAAAAAGTAAAAACAAACACCGTGCAGGGCAGCGGACGCACCCCGCCTTAGTCGCCGCCGCCGCCGCTGACCTGCGCCTCCTCGCCGCCGCCGCCACCGCCGCCACGGTACCTTTTCCCCCCTCCTCGTCCTCCTCCTCCTCCTCCTGGTCCTCCTCCTCCTGCTCCTCCTCCACCTCGTCCCTCATCCTCTCAGCTCCCTCTGCAACCGATGATCTCCGTTTCATCACCCCACCATCGTCCCCCCCGCCGCCGCCGCCGCCGCCAGCCCCCGCGGGCCCAGCTGCTGCAGCATCACCATCGTCGTCGTCTGCGCCTCCGCGGCCGCCGCCGCTTGTCAATGTACGGCGCCGCTTGGCGGGCTGCCGCTGCTGCTTGCGGCCATCAGCGGCAGCATCGCCGGCGGCGGCGTCATCCGGCTCGCTGGCGGCGGCGCCGCCGCCGCCGCCTTGGCTAGCAGGCGTTTCCAAGGGCATTGGACAGCGGTTGAGCAGTGGCCGGCAGCGTTGCTTCGCCGCCGTGTTGATGTGTTTGCCTATATGTATGTGAACATCGTGGAAGTTTGGCCATATGAATGTCCCGTTGAGGACAATTTTGTGTTGGGAGCGGCAGTTACGTGGCGGCGCCGGATTTACAACGAGGGCGGAGTTGGTTTTAATCTTAATAATTGTAAATCTTAAAATTTACAACATTGAGTTGGTTTAATCTTAATAATTATAAATCTTAAGATTTACGACATTGCGTTGGTTTAACCTTGGGGCGTCACAAGCCCCCACAATGATGTGCGTTGCGGTTTACATTGCAAGAAATAGCTTGCAGGTGCCAGTTGCAGGGGAGTGGAACAGTGTTACCATACACCCTTTTACTACAGGATGTTTGTCGTACACGTCGTATGCTGTGATGGTGGTGGTGGTGGTGGTGTGCCCTGAGAGTCAACGACGACGACGACGACGACGTCCGTCAAGTCGTGTGAGTTGTGATGTCGCGTGGCGGTGGTTGTGCTGGTTGTGGTGGTGTTAGGTTAGGAGGCAAAAGGGGCGAAAGGAAGGAAGTGCTGCTGCTGCTGTTGTTCTACGGTTGGTGTTTATAGGTGTGGTTGTAGTTGTAGTTGTGGCGGTTGGGCGTTGGCTAGGGGCAAGGGGCGCCAAGTAAGAGTCAATGTGCGAGGGAAAGGAAGTGAGCAGACGAATACAATAAATACATCACTGTTTGGTTCGTGGGTGCCCTCCTTACCGCCACCCAAAGCCCCCCCCCCCCGCCTGCCCCCCTAACCCCTTTCCCCCAATCCCAGCCACCCACACAAACCCCACACAGGACCCGTGAAGGTCAGGAAAAATAACTTTCCCTGCGACTAAGGAAAGAGTAGCAAACAAAATACAAACATAACACAAAATAATGACCGCGCCTCTCTCACTTGCGCCCTCCGGCAACTTCTTGCCGTACAAGTACATGAATTCGCCGTACGCCCTCTCGTACAATTGTAGCTCCGTGCCGGTCATGCGCTCGTGGAGGCCGTACGAGTGCAGAGTTGCGGGGTCGGTGGCCCACAGCAGCTCCGAGAACCTGAGATCCAGATGACGGCGGGTTTTAGGGGGTTTGGTTTCGGAGGAACCCCGGGGTGAAAGGGGGACATGACATGAATCGTCGGGGGATGGCGCGCCTTAAAACCCTAAAACCCTAACCATTAACCTGAAGGGTGCCGGGGGGTTTGAATACATGCAGCGAAGGTGGGGTGTGGATGCCAGGTGTCGGTCTAAGGTACTTTTATTATACCTATATTTAATTTATTATTAAATATAGTAATAATATATTTTACTATATTACTGTATTTAATTAATATATTATTCAAGTAATACAGAACTGGTATAAACTAGTACACCCAGGGTTGGAGGCCGCGCAAAAAAATTCTTGCAAGTACCGCAACCTTTAAAGGTCAGCCCCTAAAGTATCAAGACCTCCTGCTCTGTCCGTCCCTTCACGCTGCTACGGATCTGTCTACTTGCCTGTCTACCTGTCTGTCTGTCTATCTGCTCTCTCTCTATATATCCCTATCTATCTATATCTATACCTATCTATATCTATCTATCTATATCTAACTATTTATCTCTACGCCTATCTGTACGCCTGTTTGTCTGTCTCTACGTAATCCTTGACTTTGCTCTGTCCGTATGTCTGTCTATTTGTCTATCTAATGCAAATAGGTCTATGTCTATTCCCCTCACCTCCTGGAAATCATCCCCGGCGCCGCCCTCTCCAGGCTCGTCCCGCCCTCGTCGGGATCCGGCCTTGTGTCGTACTGTCGGAAGGTGTCCGGATCCGTACCGGAGAAGTCCATGGGAGGTACGGCACTCTCGCCGCCCGCAGGCCCCCCCCGGCTACGTCGGGGTTTGGGTACGGCACGTGGCTTGCGGGGTGAGCTGAACCAGGGGGGCCAGGAGGGGGGGAAAGGGGTAGGGTAGGTAAGGAGGGAGGGGAGGGAGGGGCTTTTCCTTCCCGCATCTCGTCCAGAGCACAAAAAAGGCCATGTATACCGGCATGTAGAGACCGACAGACAGGCAAACTGAGAGAGACATTACTTCCCCTCCAGCAGTGCCAGTACGAGCACCAGGCAGGTGCTAATTCGCTCGCAGTTGAGGCAAATGACCATGTCGTATTCTTTCTTTTTTGGGGGGGGGGGAAAGGAAATTTCAGGCAGTTGTACCAAACGGTAGCCGGCGCCCGGGCGACTTTTGGTTATGTGCTCGTGTGAATTGGTGATCTGATCTGGTCTGATTTTTATTTGATTTTTATTTGATTTGCTATAGGTCATACCTGCCTGGTACCTCAGAGTCATCCGGGCCGCCGCCGCCGCCGCCGCCGCCGCCACGACCACGACCACGGCCACCTCTGCCGCCAGCCGCCGCCGGCTCCCTCGTCACACCAGCCCCCACGGCAATGCCGCCGCCGCCGCTGCCGCCACCACCACCTTCCTGCTGCCGCTGTATCTGGTAAGGGTGGTCATATTCGTGGTTCGCGGCGGCGGCGGCGGCGGCGGCGCCGGGAAGGGCCCAGCTGGGTGACGTCAGTAGGTCAGGATGGGAAACTCCTTGGAGTACGGCAAGACGTCCTCGTACGGCAGCCCACAGCCAGACGCCGTCCAGCTTGAGTAACTTGAACTCCGGCGCGAAGGCGCGTAGCTGGTGGTTGTGGTGGTTGTGGTGGGCGCGGCAGTGGAAGGGAAAGTCACGCGGGGGAATGGGAGGATGGGCGAGGGGGAAGGGCGGGAAAGACGAACCACGAACGAGTGAAGGTGGGAGTGAGGGGGAGTGAGGGGGAGTGAGGGGTAATACACGGAGGACGTCTCGGAGTGGGTGGTGCAAAAGAGAGGTTTTGGGTTTTTTTAGGCGGTTGTGGCGGTTGTGGTGGTACAGAGGGAATGAGGCGGAGAGAAGGATTGGATGGCGCGGTGCGAACACTCAAAGAATACAGAAATGAGTATATTGTACGCCAAACGGATGCACATACAGACATACCCAACCAGCCCCAAGCCCCGCAACATCCACCGGGGCGCCCAGGCTTCCCCCTCGGTGCCAGCCCCCTCTTTCCCCCTCGGTGCCAGCCCCCTCTTTCCCCCTCGGTGCCAGCCCCCCCTTTCCCCCCATTAAAAAGAGATCTTCCATTCTAACCCCGTGGCCCACACCGCACTCCGGAGATGGCACACACCATCTCCTGCCCCGCCACCTCCACCGCCGCCGACCAGGACTCCGAGCTGCCCTCTTCCCCTTCTTCCTCCGCCTCCTCCTCCTCCGCCACCAGGGCCTCGCTCCTCCCCCCGGCACGCTGCTTTGAGCTCTTCCTCCCCCCCTCCTTGCCGCCGCCGTCAACGCCGCTGCCTCCCGGCATAATGTCCTCCCCTTCAAGCTGCATCTGCCACCCCCGCCGGCGGCGGCGCCGCCGCCGCCGCAGCCCCTCCACTCGCTCCAGGAGTACGGGAACCAGCACGGCCGCCGCCGCTGCCGGGTCCCCCTCCACGAGCATTACGTCACGCAGGTACGGCGGGCGAACTGCCAGAGCACGAGAGGAGGGGAAATAAAGGAGGGAGGGTGAGGAGGAGGAGGAGGACGACGACGCGGGGAAATGGTGAATGGGAAATGTGACGAAGCACAGGCGGCTGAAGATGATACCAGGCGAATGGCGAATGGGAAGAGAAGTCCGTCCCCTAACCCCCCCTGGACTACCCGTATACCTTTGGTATCTGCTCCAGTCGTTAGTGGTTCGCCTTAACCTCCCCCTTCACCTCCTCCTCCCCCTTCCCCTCCTCCTCCCCCTTCCCCTCTTCCTCCTCCTCCTCCCCCTTCACCTCCTCCTCCCCCTCCTCCTCCCCCTCCACCTCGACACACCCACTTAAACTCCTCCTCACCAGGTAGAGTCCCATCCGAGCTGCCGCCGACCAGCCCCACCCAGGTGCCGCCCCGCAGCCCCACCACCGGGCTCCAAACACCCCGCTGGGGGTCCCAGTCCGCCAGCGCGCGAGACCGCTCCAGGGGCACCTCAACCGCTTCAGAACCGTCCAAAAGCTTCACGTGAAGCACCACACCACTACTACCAGTACTCGTGTTGCAGCCGCCTCTGCCGCCTCCGCCTCCGTCGCCACTACCGTCACCATTGCTGCTAGCAACAACAGCATTAGCATTCGCATTCGCATTAGCAGGGGCCGCGCTGTTGTCGCTGGGTTTCGCGGCCTTAGCGACCGCCTCCGGCGGCCCTGACACCGCCACCAGCCGCACCGTCCACCACGCCGCGTCATGGGTGACCTCCAGCAGCATGCCCAGTCTGAGCGGGGGAGGTACGGGGCTGGGGGCGATCTGGGGAGGTTGGGGCCGAGGGGGAAGACGAACCACGAGGGAGTGAAGCTGTGATGCCAAAGAAGGGCTGCTGCGGCAGATGAAGCAGAAGAAAGCGCGTGGGGGAGGCGGGAAAACGAGGGAAAACAGGACGCGTGTGTGTTTCGTGGCGGGGAATCACCCACCCCAACCCCCCTTCACCCACCTGGCTGGGCGGCACGGGCCGCACCGCGTAGCCACGTCGCCCATGCACGGGGTAGACCTCCCCACCGCCGGGGCCCTCGTCCCCCTCCAGCTTGGGGCCGTTCAGCGCCGCGGCCATGTCGGGGCTGAGCAGTCGGGGGCAGCCGGGTAGAGGGAACCACTCCGTCAGCAGGGGGGAGCCGGCATCCTCGCTGACCTGGGAAGGGGGGGGAGGGAAAGAGCGGGAAAGGACGGCGGGGGGAAAGGGAAAGACGAACCACACGCGATTGGGGGGAGGGAAAGAGGGGGGGAGGGAAAGAGCGGGAAAAGACGGGGGGGAAAAGGGGAAGGGAGAGGAATGAGGAACACCAAGGATGGAGTTATGTGTCGTTTGAGGGGGGAGAGGGGAGGGAACACGAACCACAGACGAACCACAGACGAACCACAGACGAGTGAAGCTGATACCAAAGATATCGATGAGATGTCCGGTGAAGTACGACCTGCCGTACGCGTCTCAATCAAAGGAAACGACTTCTTTGGGGCATTCCACTCCAGTCCAGGGGAGCCGCAGAGGGGAAAATTGGGGTAGGAGAGCATTATCCAACTGTGCCAACGCCGCCACCACCACCACCACCACCACCACCACTATCACCAGCTAGCTAATAACACCTCCAGCTTGAGGAGGAGAATGAGGAGGAGTAATGGGGAGAGCGCCAAGAGGCTCCAGGGTTTGGGTCCTTTAAAGGGGAAGCCGCATCGGGTCATCTCCGGCGGAGCGCCGCCTCCGTACCTGCAACTCATCGTACATGACGAGCCCGTAGCCGTACTCCGGTGCCGACAGCTTCACCAGTCTAGCAGGGAACCAAGCGCCTATAAGGCCCTCCTCCTCGTTATGGACCTGTACGAGCAGGCAGTAGTCCGCGTACATGCCGTCGCGGGAGTAAGCGGCGGCATCTGAAGTCAAATCGGATCGGATCAAAACACACCCAGCGCGGTACCTCCCCCCTCAAGCAGCCCCCCGGCCCTCTCCCCTCCCCCCCCGGGGGGGTCCAACAGAAACGCCGTACAGGATCCAACGACTGTCCGAAGCCTTCAGTCCTCAGTTCAAATTCGCGACTCCTGAAGTTCAGTCCAAACCCACTAACCCACACGCGCACACACCTCTACACGGTCGCCCTCCCGCAGCGGCGAAGCCACAGCTGCTGCTGCTGGTGGTGGCGGCGGCGTCGCCCCTGTCACCGCCACTGCCGTACCGGCACCACGGTCTCGACGTCTCGCCAGGCCGGCGGCCCGAGAGCCTGACCTCCCCCCTGCTACCGCCGCGGCAGCAGCAGCAGGAGCAGCAGCAGCAGCTATGGCATTTGGATGGATCACACCATTGGGGCTGGCAACACCCGCGCCCTCGACCGCCGCCGGCACCATTTTCACATCGTCGTCGTCGTCGCCGCCGCCGCCGCCCCTAGAACGCCCCGAGCGTCTTCGACGTTTGGCTGGCGGCGCCGTCAGCACTGCCTCCTCGTCCTCATCCTCCACCTTAATCTCTTTTGCCTCCCCATCACAATTACCACCACCGTGGGCTGCGGCGGCATCGGTGTTACCATCCCGGGGGCTCCCCGCCTGACCGCCGCTGGCGGTGCCGCCAGCAGCGGCCCTACCACTTCCTTTAGCGGCCCCCCTCGCCCGCGTGCCCCCTCGGGAACTCCTCCTGCGGGATCCCGATGCCGCCGCCGCCGCCGCCGTAGCGTCCATCACCGACTCCTGCTCCGTCTTCAATGTATCCTGCTGCACAACTGCGGCAGCAGCGGCGCCGCCGCTGCTACCACCGCGACGGGCGCCGGCAGTAGTTGTTGCGCCGCCAGGGTCAGCTGGAGCTGGAGCTGCGGTTGCGGCGCCGACGCCGGCGGCTGATTTTCTAGCAGGACCGCCGCCGCGGAGACGGAGTACGGCAGTTCGTTCGGCGGCGGCAACGGCGGCAGCGCCGGACTCCGCGGACAAAGGCGGCGGCGCCGAGCAGCCGCCGCGGAGTCGAAGCGCGCCGCCGCCGTCTTCCCTTGATGGCCTCTGCTCCGCCGCCGCCGCCGCCGCCGCCAGCTGCTGCTGCTGCTCAGCGGTTCCCGCCAGGCAGTCCACTTCCTAGAAAAGAACCCAACCACCAACCGCAAATTAGCATCCACCAGTAGGGAGGCAGTAGCAGTAGCAGCAGCAGTAGCAGGGCGCGGGACTGGGGGGTTCGCGGCTGGGAAAGGGCTAGCGCCAGTGCACATCAGCACCGTTCGGGGCTCCCCCTCCCCCTCCCCCTCTCCCACCCGCCGGACGGTTAAGTCTTTGTTTCTCGGTGTGTGTAAGGGGGGGGGGACATAAACACGCACACATACGAGCTGTTAACTACTAGGCCACAGCAGTCGCGCACT